ATTTGAAAATATTTTAAGATACTGCATCATGCACCAAAGTGCTGTCATGAGTACACAGGATAGGGGAGGAAGGAAGAAAGTGAGTCCATATAAACAACTGTACATATCAACATTGTAGCCATTGGGTACCAAGTATACAGGTGCACATATATATCAAGAACTGCAGCTAAAAAGAATACAGAATTTAACAAGAAACGAAAGAACCCTCCATTTCCTATCTCTCCTTGCTCCCATCCTGAACTCACCATGAGTGTGTAACCCAAAACAATAAAATAGTTACTCTTCTTTTGTTAAGATAAAATAATCAATACCCCTGGCAGGGGCAGACTGACAACTCATGGGGGACCCCGGGAAATAGGGGATCATGGGGCCCCTGTGTCCTTGCCCAAACTCAAAAAAGCCTATGAAAAAGGTACCAGGGGCATCTCATGGGGCCCCCTACTGACTGTGGGCCCTCAGGCAGTGCCCGAGTTTCCAAATGGTCAGTCCGCCCTTGCCCCCTGGGTAATCAATGAACATTACAAGGATTTTAACAAACTTTGTATCAGATTCCTACATGTTTCTATTCTCAAGAAAAAGCTGTTTCTTGTGTGCAGAGTGAATCTGAATGGGAGTGACATTTTCACTAGCATGCAGCTGAGGCACTTGCAGTTTTCTTAAGAGGAATTTTGCAGTGTCAGCATCTCTTTAGAAATGCTTAACCCTTTGAGAGTATCTCACCAAAAATTAAATGTTTGTTCCATAGGATTCCAAAAATCTTACTTATATCTTTGTGCAGACTCCTGGGAAAATCAGTCAGCCAATCACACAAGCAGTAAATGACATTTCTGGGAAGGTTATGTACACAAATTATGTACAGAAGGCCTACAGGCTACCATATTGCACTGCATTTTACAGAAAATCACAGCACTACAGATTGAAAAGGAAAGGTAATTTTTAATAATATTCAATTACAGTATGGCTTGTGCAGCAGCTGTACATGGTAATTTGTTTTTATTACTATTTGTATTTTTTTCATAGAAAAGTGAAATTACCCTTTAAGGTTCAGTGCAAACACAAGTTCGGACTGAACCTTGGCTATTTGGCATTCAGATGACTTATCCAAAATGTACCCAATCTGTGGAAGCCAAACTTCAAGTATAATAGTGGTACAGTATTACTGCCACTCTTATGCACTACAGCTTCCTGCTGTCAATGGTTGTTAAGGACATTAACATGTGTAGGCATCACCAAGTCTTTAACAACCAATGATGTCACTGGCCCCATTTAATTACATGGCAAGGATAGTTGAAACTGCATTTTTCTTTTGGCCAGGGTTGGGCATCATGATTGACATGGATTCCTGGACAATGTGATGGATGATGTGTATGTTACATGGGATTTTTTTTTTTTTTTAATAAAAGAGCTTGTCAAAAATTGTCTGCCTTTTTTACACTTTATATTATTTTCGTAAATGAGAAGGGATGCTATGTACCCTTTACTCTTTCACAGGGGGGCTGTATTTGGGTGTCTTATTGTTCAAGGGGGCTTGCAGATTCTGACAAGTCCCCAATCTGCATAGCTCCAGGTTTGTCCTCATCAACATGTGGACAAGGTGTTTTGCCAGGGGGTCTCCCTTGTTAAGGTAACACCCCTATGTTAAAGCCATGTTGCCTTATATTGTTCGCGGGTGCACCCTTTCCCCCCTTTCCTTGACCTGCAAGGTGCATGCTAGGATAAGGGTATGGTGTGAATTTGGGGGATTTTTCTTTGTAAATATCAGTGTGGTTGTAGTAGTCTGTATACATTGCACAGATGCCTCACTTTACAGTAAGGTCAGAGCACCCATAGGCATATTATTTATTGCAAGTTTGTATTTTTAATGCATTACTAAAACTGCAGTTCCCTGCAAACATAATTTTGTAAAAAATAATTTTGCTTTGCCCAACCCCCTAATGCAATTTGTTTGACAATCCATAGCATATTATCTGAGAAAATGGTAATTACTGTTTTTTTAAAAGTTTGCTCCCACTGACTTCAGTGGGTTTTGGATTGCACCTGAACTTCAGTTATGTTCATCAAACCTGCCCTGAACCACTCTCAGGTATGTTTGGCTTATCATTACTCCCTACCTGTTACAGCAGAGAAGGAAATGTTTCAACAAAAAATGGTTATGTAAAAGAAAATTTGTTTAGTAGTATGACTGTCTGTAGATAGGATAATGTAACAGTGCATCCCCATAGAAGGATGGTGAATTTTAGGAAATAATTCTTGGAACCATGGAGAAACCTTAGCAGAGATTTTAAGGGCTTAAATGACAACTATTTTAGGCTCCTTATAAATTGATGGTCATCAATCTTAGTTTAGAATTTAACTTAAAGAAGGAAACACAGTCCATATACATATATACAATCATCTAAGCCCCAACAAATGATTAACAGTTCAAGAAAGTAAACTCTTGGAACATCATAAATGGCTATAACAAGGACATTTAAAGGTAAGAAGGGTTCTATTTTTTATATATAATAAAGAAGTGAGTGTTCTCCAACAAAATACAGAACATTCAGGATCTGCCCTACCAGTTTTTCAGTTGCACCGCAACAGTGAGCCATGGATGAGCACATACAGGAAACCCCTTCAGAAATGTCCCTGCTATCACTAACATGAGGACCTGAGATTCTGGGCAGAGGCTTTAAACAACTGTACAGGCACCCTCCCCCCAGAGGATGAGAAAATAATTATAAGCTGCACACACACAGGGGCAGGTATACAAATCGTAGAGACCTGTGTACCTCTCAGGAGTAAGTCGGTGAATATGGACCCCTATGATAGCCCAAGGAGGCCAGCCAGTGGTCTCAGCTGGAGAGGATGAGAATTACATCTTGTCCTTATTTATATTCTGCAGCTTTGCTGGATACAGAATGCTATGAAGAGGATTCTTTTCTCTCAGACACTTTTTAACATGTAGAAAGGCAACTTACTGTTTTTTGGTGGTGGACGCAGAAAAATCTGGGTACATCATAATGTTGTTATTATATTTTGGTTCCTGGAAAGATCTTGAAGCTTCCAGAATTGCCTCTCTGTGTTTAATGTATGGAATACAAGTAAGCAAGGGTCTCGTTGGGGTGCCAGGCATGGCATTCTCAGTGGGACCCTATTAGATCTCTCAATGGCTAAAAGTGATGGTCATAAAGTTTAAATAGTCTTCCAGAGTACTAATACATTATTCTGTGTTTGAAACCTTGGGGTTTAGTTACTAAAGCTGGAGAGTCCAAAATCAGACTCCCTTCTGCATAGAAACCAATCAGCTTCTAACCTCAGCTTGTTCAATGAAGCTTTGGCAATGAAACCTGGAAGCTGATTGGTTTCTATGCAGAAGGGAGTCTGATTTTGGACTCTCCAGCTTTAGTAAATAAACCCCCTTGTGTCTGATCTTATAAACATCATTCTTAAGAACTCCAAGGGTTTCCAGCTGTGGTAAGGGCCTCGTGTCGGATTGCCTGCATCAGTGTTGGTTCTGATGCCTAGCCCTCAGATGTTAGCTTTGGAAAGTCTCTGACATCTGGATAAGGAGAGTATGTAGCAGGATTAGCATCTCTGGGTCAGTTCATTCTGACGTATCCTCTATGCAGGGGAATTGTGCATCTTCTTAAGTCTAGCTGCATGCAATGGGGGGATCAGTATCATCTTGGATCAGCTCTACAATGAAGGGGGCTAGGTGTCCTCCTGAGGTTTTGGAAGCATCCCTGCTGATCTTCACCTTAGTGTCTAGTCACCTGGGGTCTGTGTACTGTACTCAGGTTGCCAGATTGTAAATCATGGCAACTGCTATTTTCAATCTTCTGTAGGATTAACCAGTGACTACAGAGATATGGAGAAGAGTGGCTTGCATGCTTTAGCTGATTATGACCCCCCAATCCCCCCCCCCCCCCCCCTCGCCTTACCACTTTCTTTTCTTTCTTTTACTTCTTTCCTTTACTTCACTTACTCTCTCTGCCTGCCCATCTTCTCTCCACTTTGAAGGTGTTACTCATTAGTGGGTTTTGCAACCTTAACTACACAGGAAGTCTATTTGGAGTTCCCCTGCTATCCCTCATTAGCATGGGAGCATTTATATGCATCTCTGGGCCTCCCATTCTTCAAGTGTCTAATAAACAACTATTTTACTGATAGCAACAAATTGTGATGCTTGCTAACTCACCTCCTATCCCATTTTACTTTCTACCATGCTTCACTTACTGTTTATATACCCCTGAGCTTTATTTGTGTTAATGTAAATACATTTCTATTCCATATTATTGGATCCTGTACACACTATTTACCAGCCATCTTCAAAGAGACCCATTTGCCATTTGTTTCCTGTTCACACTATACGCATAAACCTGTATTGGAGTTGTTACTCATTTTTCTCTCCTATAAAAATATTTGAACAAAAGTATGACCTCCCAAGTTAATTCAAATTGAATTCAAGTTATGGAAATAATTTTATACAGAAGATTTTTCGCAGGCCAAGTGTACTTGCACATCTGACCATCATCTCAAGTCTGCAGGTTGCTGTATACTTTATGTAACTGATATTTACTTTTTTAGCATTAGTTTGTTAATAAACTTTTCTAAAAAAAAGTGTCTTCTAAATATGGCACAAAAACAAATATTGCTTTTTCATCGCTAAATGCCATTCAGCAGCAAGGAGAAACATTTTCCCAACGTAGTTCTGATACACCCATGTTACATCACACTGAGCTACTAATTATCCTTTGAAATTGAAGATGCTGCAATCAGGAGCAGTATTTTTCTGTTCAATGTTGCATTAGTGATACAGGATGAATAGAAGTCTATTTTATTTTTTAAACTTTGTAAAATAAACAATATTTTCAGTGTGATTTTATTACCTTTCAATCTGCATTGTTAATGTGTGTGTGTGTGGTGAAAGATAAGTAAAATATAGGCTAAAACAGTGAACTGCAGGCTTTAACCCTTGTGCTGCATGACCAATTATTCCATATTTCACATGTTTTCAAATGCATATCCAGGGGCAGACTGACAACTCATGGGGCCCCCGGGCAATAAGGAATCATGGGGCACCTGTGTCCTTGCCCAAACTCAAAAAAGCCTATGAAAAAGGTACCAGGGGCATCTCATGGGGCCCCCTACTGACCCCGGGCCCTCAGGCAGTTTCCAAATGTTCAGTCCGCCCCTGTGCATATCTGATCCTCAGGCTTCAATTCCTAAATTCTAACAAAAATCATTATTCTGACTCCAAAACAGTTTCTACAATGATTTGTTTAGCTGATGCATCTATTTAAATTTAGCACCCCTTACCTGTGAACAGATGTGGAAGAGTTTCACGTAGCTTAGATGGCTAGCATTTCAAACCTCAGGGCAGATTCTTTGACTCTGTGGGGTGAAAGTAATTAGGCAGCAGTCACTATAATATCACTAAAAAGTTAGTTACCAAAGAAATGTTCCAATAAATACAACACTTCTATTATACCAACATCATTGCACCAATGTAATAAAGAGAGGAAATACACTCACTGGATGCTGCTAATATTAAAAAACTCAAAATAATAATAAAAATGTGAAAAATATACAAATCACAAATAATAGCGCAAACCAAGTCAGACAACTAAATATAACCACCACCAAATAAGTGCATATTTATAGTGCAAACAAAAAATCAAATAAGGAATCTCAATATAGTCCATTCAGAAAAGTCCATATAAACATGATCCTCAGTAAATGAAGTAATGAGATCCTCCTTCATAAGCAATGTGGTATTCAGTGCTCAAAAACACCCCCATCAAAATGCACACTCACCATGTGCTAGTAATTAACCAGCATGTCAGTATATATCCAGCATTCACCAAACAGACTTCAATGGACGATCCTCATGTGTTGGTAATTACTCAGCAGCATACTACTGTGTATCCAGCATATCACCAAACAAACTCCAGAAAAGATCCTCTCATATCCAGATTAGCACATGTGGGTAAAGAAAATACTCGCCATAGTGCAGTATCATCCAACAAATTTATTGCCAAACAAACCCCCCTTAAAATCACACTCACAATGAGCAAATAAAAACAAGGCTTTTTGTTATATCAGAGCTCCAGTCTCTGCATCCTGTGTCTCACCAGCCAGCCCGCATTCAAGATGGTAATAGTGCGATCACATGATCCGGACACGTGCATCAGCATGCGTAGTGACGTCACAGGAAGGCCACACCCTGATGCATTTCGTCCAATGACTTCTTGTGTGATTTGGTTTGCGCTATTATTTGTGATTTGTATACTTTTCACATTTTTATTATTAGTCACTATAATATGTTTAAAGAGTTTATTAAACCATGATAAAGTCAGTGAGAGGGGGTAAGGGCACAGAATACCCAAAAATAGACAAAAAAAAATAGCAAAATACACTATCATTGTATGGAGATGAAATATGACTTTGTATGGAGAGAAAAGAAGCATCTGCTCCCACCTTCATTGAAGCAGTACTTGGTGTCTCAGTGACCTATCACCATGACCAAATATTGCCACAGGTAGGGTGAGTCAAAGCCTATAAGAAAGTAAATCCTGACCACTGGAAAATTTATATTTACATAAGACCCTTGTGTAAACTGCAGGGGCACTTTGGGGATGTGGCCTGTCAAAATGGACTGATAATGACCTGCTTTCTAAATGCAGACTTTAACATTACACATTGACTTTAATCAGGCACAGAGAGATTTCAGCAAATGAAATGCCTTAAAATGTTTGGCAGCTCAAATGCACAGTAATCAAGTTTTGACCAGTTAAAGTTATATATATCCTGGACATCTTTTGCCTCTATGAGTGTTCCCAGGCAGAAGGCTTAAAGTGTTACTAAACCCACAACAGTAAAATCAGTCTGCATATGCAGTAAAGCATGCTTGGTATACTTGCTGTGAAACCTAAGGGGTTACTCCTCTGCATTGACTGAACCTATGTTTGATCCTGACTTCTCTGCCCCTCCTCTTGTTCAACTGTCCACACTGATAAGACAGACTGAACCCATAGCTCTTCTGCACATGCTCAGTTTAGTGTGTATTGCTAGAGAGGTTTTTTTTTTTCTTGGGAGAGTGCATGTGATCGGCAAATATTCAGACAGAGCTCATGGGTTTTGCATCCTCCTAGAGCAGAAAGAAAACTCCTACAAGCTTTAACCAGTGCTCAGCTAAAGTCACAAGACTGCTCTAACTGCTGATGAGAAAGTGTATTTAGCAGTTTACATTGACTAAAATAATTGCACTTCCATGTTCTCTGTACTGTGGGAGACCAGATATAGTGAATGCAGGGCCCTGGGTTTAGTAACGCTAAGATATGTCCATATAGTTTCTGGATGTAAAGACTATCCATTATAAGGCAAGCTACAGTAATGACTGGGATAGTGCCACATTTTGCATGCACCATTTGAGTCAGTGTGACATTATTGATAATTGCAGAAATGTGTACAAAGCTAATCATCTCAATATACCCTTTAAAAACCAGTAATATGAGGGTGTTTACAGATATTGGAAATATATACGTGAACCCAATTTAATACTCATATTATGTAATCTTTTAATGCACATTTAAATCCTCTTGCCCTTATTTCATAATGTGTTTCCCACCTTAAAACCAAGTGCAGATGTTTGTATCCCATGGTTGTAATTGGTGCTGGAAATGTCTTTAACTAATTGCTCCTGGCATAAGCACATCCATGGATTTCATATAAACTAGACCCAACACTGAACCCAAGAATAGGATAAGTTTATACTGCAAAGAAGAAAACAAGTATTTTATTAACAGATGGCACCCATAGAAATGTTATACTTTAGGATGATATAAACTCACCTTCCTCTTTATAAGTGATTTTATATAAACTTTCAGTGGCTTGTTCAAACTCAAAACTTAATAAATATTCTAGGTCAGCATGACAGCAAGGCATTTAGCATTTCTAAAAGGAGATATTATTCTTTTGACTGGTTTCCTTTTAAAAAAAGCAAATATTTTATCTGACAGGGAATTTACACATAGAAATAGACACTGTAAGCTGTAGGAAATTCATTTGAACACTAGTTGGAAATGATCTCTTTCACCCTCATCAAAATGTTGTCAAACACATCCTCAAATTTTTCTATTCAGGCTGCTTAGGTGAAATTTACCAAGTACCTCCACAAACATAGGTTCAGTCAAGGACTATGGTAGGGAAACCTTTCCGTCGGATTCTTTGCCACTTTCTTCTTGGTACTCTGTGTTGGACAATTTGGCCTTGCTGCTCCAGCTGAATTCCTGACCCTTTGCCTAATAATGGAAGGTTTTAGTCTGGATTTCAGGCATAGAGTTTCTAAACAGTTTCTAGTAGTGTTATAAAAGGCATGCTGCTGAATTGCCCAACTGTTGTCCTCTCAAAAGAGGTTCAGACACCACCATGTGAGGTTCAGACACCACCATGTGAGGTTCAGATTTTTCCAGTCCATTAATATTGATAATTCAGTATAATGCACCTTATACATTTCAAAGCTTGCAAGCCTGCAATTAACACAATAAGGCCTAATTAACATTGGCAGTACAAATATGACTTCATATGCATTTACCAGAAACTTCTAAACACATATAAATGAATGAAATTATTTTAAATTGTATAATTCACTCTGTGTGTTTACCTGTGTTTAGGGACATTTAGTTCAGTTGTGTTTAGAAAAAAAATGAATTTTATGCATCCAGGGGCAAATTAGATACTTCAGATTCCTTTAAACATTTATGCTTTCCTTATAATTTAAATAAACCAAACATAATAGGGTAGTGTGAATGTAGCCCAGGGTGTCTAAGTTGTTAGAACTCTATATATGGTATACATGTGTCAGTTTTCTCAAGGTTCTTGGATCCTACAAGACAAAAGCATGCTAGTAAATTTTTGGCTCTTGACCAAATTAGCCGTATCTGTGTACATGCTTCTCTTATGGCCATAGTTAGAGACATGAGGCTGTAAGCTGCTCAAGGGCAGAAACTCAAAGGTCATACATGCTCTATAGAGAGATGTGTAATGTATAATTAAAGGTTATGAGTAAATCAGTTATTCAAGATGAAAAATTCAAATTTGGGAACCGACCATTCCTTCACTGTGAAACAGCTTTGTTAACACAGTATATACACATTTAGCATTTCCACATTCAGCAGTTATACTATTCACCCTTTGTTAACACCTTTCTTTTTGTATTAAAATATAAAAAAAAAAGAAGAGCATAAAAATAATGAAAAGAAAGGAATGCTGCTCATGGGAACAAAGCTCAAGGTCCAGTAAAGTCAGAAACACCATGAAAGAAATCACTTTGAGTCAGCACAGAAATATTGGTTTTGTCATGAGCTTATTTCATGCACCGTATTCTTCCTCTAAGGATTACAGTTAAGGTGGTAAAAGTGCACTAAATCTTTCTTCATCAATAGCAAAAAGAATGTCTATGAAAATATTAAATGAAAGTCGTATACCGCTGTTTCCAATTAAAAGTCATTATGTGAAACAATCCGCAACATTGGAAAGGTAATTAAGCAACTACTTTCCCTGGCCTGATTGCTCTAAACTAACAAAGGTGAAGCCTTATAGATAATTACGAGCTACTATATCATGGCTTTTCATCATGTTTAGTTGGACTTATTTAATTTTTTATGGTTTATTCTATTTTAGCTTTGCTAATTATATTTCATGGAGACAGAATGTTCATTCATCTGACATCAGCAAAATTTTTCTTAAAGTATAACATCACTTCTACTAAACTTTACATGCAAATACTTGTCCCTGTCTTCCATCAGAAAGGCAATTGGATGGGTTACTTATACTGAAGATAAATCTCCTTTTTAGCAATGTAGCCTAGTTTGGGTTTTGCATCCTTCTTTTACTAAAGAAACTCATTCTGGCCACTACTGGAAGATGATGTTTGAAGATGGGAGACTCACTCTACACTGCGTTGTATTAGCAATCTGTCTCCTGGGAGCAGATTTTATTTATTTATTTATTTATTTATTTATCGAGTTTATATAGCGCCAAAGGGTTTGCTCAGCGCTGTACAATAGAGGGGGGACAATACATGAAACAGTACAGTAACATCAAACAGCACACAAGGGGTAAGAGGGCCCTACTCTTTCGAGCTTACAATCTAGGAGGGAGGGGTAGA